AATCCACTGATGGATGTCACACCTCCGTGATCCAGTCACCTCCCCAAAGCCCCACCTAGCCCATGATGCTTTGGGGGGAACATCAAGATCTAAACCATAACGGAGCTCATGGTCCAGTCACTTCCTGAAGTCCCGCCTCTAAACACCAAGACTTTGGGAACAATTTAGATGAAAACCATTCACACAGGGAAAGTGGGTACTGTTCATTGTTTAGAACAGAGCATATTTAACTGTTTGAATCATTATGTGGTGTCTAGTTATGGTTTTACCTTCACCACACATTTTGCTTACATCTCTAATCTTTCCAGTTCTGAGTCCTTGGCGAGAGTGATTATACCATTGACCTTGTGGGAAAATCAAGCAGGGAGGTGAATCACAAGGAGGGCTCCTGTGGGAGCACTGTGTAGGAATCACCTGCACAGGATTTGGCTGTCGCACTTAACTGTTCATGGGTCCTTTAATAGCAAGGATAGGGCTCTATTATCAAAGTTGCAACCTGCAGAATCCTCCCTCAGTCCTTTCTAAGGGAACAGCAGTCAATTTTAGAGGGTTGTCAAATTTCTCATTGCAGACATAAACTGTACTGCGTCTAGAAAAATAGTTCAGTGTGATTAAAAATACATCGTTCCTTATAACAATGCAGGAGTTGCCACCTCGACCTCCCCCGTCCTTCCACCAACTGCTGTCCACACCTGCAAAAGCAACTACAGGAACTCTTCCTTAAGTTGTCAATTGCCCCGAAGTAAATATAAAAGTAGGACCAGGGATATGGATGATACTGGTGCTAACGCTGGCAAAATAAATCTTGGTGATTGCCCAGGCATCTGATATCTTTCTCACCATGACTATGTGTGAAAAACACAAATTTATGTGGAAAAAATATATTATGGATATACATTTATATGAAAAAAATGATTTGTCTTTGAACAGCCTCCCCCCCCATTCTTTTTCATGAAGGAACAGCCCATGAAATTATGATTGTGAAGGGAGTTGCTCTAAATTGTCTTATTTCAAAAGAAACACTGTAGGGGGCTGGGGTGCCTTGCAAGCACAAGGGCCCAAATGAGTCCAACCCCCGGTACCAAAAAAAAAAAAAGAGAAAAGAAAAGAAAAGAAAAAGAAAAAAAGAAAGAAAGGAAAGGAAACACGGTGGGAAGCCATCCTTATTACATAGTCTTTACCACATTGCTCCACGGCTTCTGCGCCCCCAGAAACCACTTACGTCACGTCGTGTACTGGGGATGGGATAAAATTATGTGAAAAATCACATTAAAGCTATGAGTTTCCTTTGATGGTCTATGTATTACCCACCCCACCCGTGGAGCTCACAGGTTATATCTGCAGAACTGGAGAATTTCCTTTAGTTCGTTCTCATTAATTTTTCTAGGGTATTTATTCACGGAATGGCATGGTGGTTCCACTGTATCTGTTAACTGTGTGGAGCAGCTACGAGTCCTGCATCAAGGCTCTGCCTAGGCCCATTTCATGGTTGGGCGTAGCCTGTTAATATGGCCAGCCCCCACTTTTTCTCTCTCCTGTCTCTCCAGTGCAGGAAATTGAACCCCAAAGTGATCTACTACCGAGCTCCATCCCCAGCCCTATTTCTTTGTATTGTTTGCCCAGGCCCACTTTTTGTGTTTCTTTAGTCTCTTTCCTCCCCAGCAGCCAATAGCTAACTATAGGCACATAATACACCTGGTTGGAATTCTTGGTGAAAAGGTTGCCCTTTGTATTGTTGGTGAGAACTAAGTTCACTTTGATGACATCTTTTTCTCTTTTCTCAGTGGTAGATTCTCCCTCCCTCTCTCTCTCTCTCTCTCTCTCTCTCTCTCTGTCTCTCTCCTTTTATGGTACTGGTTATTGAATCCAGAGCCTTTGCATTGAGCCATATTCCCAGCTGTTTTTTATTTTTATTTTATTTTTTATTTTGAGGCAGGATCTCACTAAGTTGCTAAATTGCCCATGATGTGCTCAAAGTTATGATCCTCCTGACTCAGCCTCCCAGTGCTGGGATCACAGCCGTGCACCACCATGCCTGACTCACAGTCTCTTTCTTACACGTCACGTCTATGTCATTCTTTTCTCTCCTGTGCATGCTTATGCCAGCTAAGAGATCCACTCTGATTGTCCCATCCCATCCCCTCTCCCATGACTTCTCCCCTACTGCCGGGAGTCGCCCCTGCTTGGGCGGGGCTGCAGGTGTTTCCGCCTTAAGCCCTTGGCAGTGGGAGCAGAGGCAGCGCTGCCAGCCTGTCCAAACCCAACTGCGACTGGAGGCCGGAGGAGCAGGTGGAAACAACACACGTATGTGGAGCTGAGCCAGGCCAGGAGCCTGCTGAGTTGGCCTGGCCCGGAGAGGGCTGGCAAGAGGCCAGGCAAGGCGGGAGGAGTCACTGTACCTGTGTGTTCCAAAAGCAGGATGTGGTGGCAGCAGGGAGGAAAGGATTCTCGAAGAAAGAGCACAGAGTAGAAAACCAGGATCGGGGTCCGTGGGGACCAAGTCGAGCGCCTCATCCAAAGGGTCAGGGAAAGGACGTGCTCAGTGCAGTGAGGACAAGTGGCCACCTTGTGGCTTGGTTTCATCCACGCATGGCACAAGGAGTGGCAGAAGGTGAGTGGGGAGCTGGCCAGAGGGGCAGAGAACAGGGAGCTGGAGATCCGGGGTCTAAGTGCACGGACAGGTGGAGGCCGATGAGGCACCCGGGCCGAGGGATCAGAGGCCCGGTGCAGGCACCGCGCCCCTCTGGGCACAGGAGTGAGGGAGAGGGGAGTGCGGGTAAGTGGCAGCCGTGGGGCAGGACAGGGACCACAGGGAGGTTAGGCTGGGCTTTGGCTCAGGGAAGTGGAGGCACAATGAGTGAGGAAGATGACTGCAGTAAGTCAGGGTGACGGCCAGAATGCAGAGACGGGACGAGCCAGACCGCCGTGTCCTGTGTACCTGGGACAGCAAGCCGGCGCCCGCATTAAAACATAGGCTGACATGAGCCAAGGTCCCACGCTTGGATGGTGATACAGGATCTTCACGATGTCCGCAATGCCTGAGCTCATTCTGAAGCAGGCTAAGTGTATCCCTTAGTCGGGCCTGGCTATACACACTCAGGACAAAGCCACGGATTTTTTTTTTTTTTTT